GAGAAAAAGAGAAAGAGAGAGAAAGAATAAGACAGAAAGAAAGGAAGGAAGAACGAGAGAAAGAGAGAGAGAAAGAACAAGAGAAAGAGAGAGAGAAAGAACTCAAATTAAACCGCACCAAACTTGATTGCAGGAAATACGACTTCAGCAACAGAGTGGTCAATGTCTGGAATACTCTACCTGACTCAGGTTTCTTCCCCAAATCCCAAAAAATTTAACCTTAGACTGTCTACTATTGACCTCACCCCTTTCCTAAGAGGCCTGTAGGGGGCATGTATAAGCGCACCAACATGCCTACCGTCCCTGTCCTATTGTTTCTCTTATTCTTTTATTTTTCTTATATGTACCCATTTCATGTATTCACAACTATGTATACATTTATACTTATTATCTTGTAAACAATTGGCAAATCAAATAAATAAATAAATAAAACAAGAGAAAGAGAGAGGATAAAGAGAGAAAGAGAAATAATAAGACAGCAAGAAAGGAGGGAAGAACAAGAGAAAGAGAGAGAGGGAGAAAGAGAGAGAAAGAGAAAGAACAAGACAGAAAGAAGGGAAGAAAGGAGAAAAGAATGAGAAAGAGAGAGAACAAGAGAAAGAGAGAGAGAGAAAGAACAAGAAAGAAAGAAGGAAAGAAAGAGACCAGGAAGCGACGGTACCGCCTTCTCCCGGGCGGCACGTGTCCGCTTTCGCCCGCCCGCTCGACTCCCGCCAATCAGCGCCCGCCCGCGTCGCTGCTTTCGGCAGGGGCGGGGCTTGAGGAGGCAGGAAGGGAAATAGGAAGAGCTGCGCGGCGGGAGGGGGGGCAGTCAGAGCCGAGACGCGGATAAGAGCGGCGGCTCGCGCGGCGCGAGACCACCAAGCCCTTCCTACCTCCTTCCCTCCCTCCCTCCGCGGCGGCATCGTCAGGTGAGCGGAGTGCGCCTGCGCGGAGCCAGGTCTTCCTTGCTAGTTTGCTGTCTTGCTCCCCCCCCCTTTTCCCAGTTCGTTCCAAGAAGGGCCTGGGGAACCTCTCCATTTCCTTTCACTTTCTCCTTTCCACCCCCCCCTTTTCCAACACGCCCCTCCTCCCGCACGCCTCTACACCCTCCCCCTTGCATGCACGAGCCTAGACAAGCCTACATTCACGGTTTGTCCTACACATGCATGCCCAAACATTGACCCAACTCTCTTTCCCTTCCTGTACCCCGTTCGTTTGTGGAGAGTTAAGGAAGGTTGGGGTGGGTAGTTGGGGGGTCGGTGGTCTGCACTGCCCTCTCCAGAGAAAAGTGGGACACACACACACACACACACACAAAACCTAAGGAGGGAAGCCCCTGGCTCTTCTTCCCCTCTTGTACCCCATAAATGCAATTAAATCTGGAGGTGGGTAGCAGCGTTATTAGGATCCGCCTAAAATCGTGCTGAGCCTCTTGGCTAGAAATGATGTTTTCGGCGCAAGCAAGAGTGAGTGAAACGCTTTGGGGTGGGGGGTGGGTGGAAATCTTTTTTTAACAGCGCAGTCAACTATTTGTAGCTGATGGACCCTCGGTGTGTTTTTCGGTTTTGTGCATTCAGAAGGGAGCAAGAATGCAACGGTTGGGGTTGGTTAATTGGGGAGGGTTGTGTGAAGCCAGACCCGGTTGGGTGTAGTAAATACAGCTTGTGACATAGTAAAGCGGCTCCCCGGCTTGAGAAAGTTTTGTGAGTTGTTGACCTTGTGCAAGGAGAAGGCAATCAATGGTTTACAGAGATGTCAGATTCCAGGAAAAAGATAAGGGGATATATAGATTGTTGTTTTTTTGGTCTGCACATATCACAAATATTTTATTTATTTTTTATTTATTTTGTTTGTCAAGCATGTATGAGAAAACAAGTGTAAGTATGAACATAACATATAAAACATATAACTATAAACAGGTATAAGTATATACATAATAAATGAGTACAAATAAATGGATAAATGGGAACAGTAGGACAGGGATGGTAGGCAAATATGTATAGTATATAATATTTAATAGGGAAAATGTGTATATGGGGTGGGGAGCTGTTTTTGGATTGAGCTGTTTAAAAAGAGTCGTCTTGGAAGGAAGAGCAGAGGAGAAAGGAGGGCTGTGGCAAGGTCACTTTTGAAACATTTAAGGCCAAATGTGGGGTTTTTCTCTTTTGTGTTTCCTGATCAAAACCTGAGTCTGAAGGAAGTGGGAAGGAGAGAGGTGTGGAGTTGCATCTGTGAAGTTCACCCACTCCATGGGATGAGTTGGTTTTGCCAACTCGGTTTCCACTGGATGAAGTTCTTCTTGGCGTTCAGTACTGATAAATACCCCGCTTTAAGAAGCTGGAAGAAAAGACAGGGAAGTTGAAGGCGAAATGGGAAATCATGCAAAGAAGCGAACTTTTCCCATCCCATAATAGCTTCCTCTAGGGCTGGGAAGAGACATCTCTCAACTTTGAAGATGGGGAAAATCCAACCAGGGAGCAAGGAGAAGCAGAACCATTTTTTTTCTCCTTTTTGCAAC